ATAAAGGAGAAATGGGTGGTGGGGGGGAGGAAGAAACATTCATGTAGCTTCAAAGCTTTTTTCACTGTGAAAGTCAAAGATATTCCATTTCCATTCCTGAATGATATGCTACCCTGTCAAGATCAGGTCTTGCAATCTCCTGACCATAACAGAGCCATGAGGTCATGGTGCTAAAATCCTTGGGGTTGTTGTTTATTTGGAGATACTGCATGAAACCTGGATACTGTGTAAATTGGCTGCTCTTGGGAAATCTTGCTGTCATTATTAAGTTGCTTCTGTGATTTGGGTATTATCTTATATGATATGTATGCTTTTTATGTTATGTCTTGAAATCTGTTTGCTTGAGCTAATAATCAAGCTTAAAATTCCTTTATTTATTTGAGTATTCATTGTCTCTTTCTTTGATTTGATTTTATTACTTTATTCTCTTATTTATTTATTATATTATATTATTTATTTGGTCAAGTGTGGTTAGACACACAGGGAATTTGTCTCTGGTACACTGAGTGCTTCTGTACTGGAGACAAATTCCTTGTGTGTCTAATCACACTTGGCCAAATAAATATAGTATAAGTCTCTGGATCCAAAATAACAAATTGCCTGGGCACCTGATCACTGCCCTGACATTTGACAAAACAGTATCTCACTAGGATAAGGTGGTGGAACAAAAGGTATATCTATAGAGATGATTACAGCACTTAAGTGAGCAAGGAGGAAATTGTAGGAGTATTCACCATAGAATACAGCATACAAAAGACACATACATTCAGCTTCAGGATGATGGTCATTAGTTATTCCTGGGTTTAACAGATAAGTGGAATTTTTCAGCACCAAGGACAGGGAATGAATATTCCCAGTATGCAAATAGGAACATGGAATATTTACTACTTATTAAAATAAAGGAAGGAAGGAAGGAAGGAAGGAAGGAAGGAAGGAAGGAAGGAAGGAAGGAAGGAAGGAAGGAAGGAAGTTTTCTTTAGAGAGAAGTCATTGAGTTACTTGAGAAACTTGTAGAATGTGCTTTTATGAAGCATTCAACTTAGTTACTGAGTTAATCACTTTCTGGTGTTCGGTATCTCTCAGAGCATAAATAAAAAATCTACAGTATTAGAACACCACAGACCAGTGATTCTCAACTTTTTCTTCATTGTGGATCCCTTTTGTGCCCCGGACCATGACCATGGACCACCAAGACTTAACTCAAGATTTAAATCATAACATTTTTTTCAAGCCTTTGCAGACCCCTGTGATGAAATCATGGCCCTCCAGTGGTCCGTGAACCACTGGTAGAGAAACACTGCTATAGACCAAATAGAAATCTAACCAAGGTTAATATAAAGCCAGTTTGGCATGTTTCACAAATGCATCTATTAATAACATGTTATATTTGAACCTCAATTTAAGTAATCCATTTTGTATTCCAACTTATCACTCCATCACTCTAAGAAGTAAAGCAAAAGAAATTTCTCCCCATTTATATGCAGATCTTTAAAGCCTTGTCATGCAGTCTTGGTCAAAAAGATATCTTAGAACTTTCAATGATTGATCCTATTAGATAAGCAACCCTTTTCTAAATGCCCAGTGGTGTGGATAATGGAGAAGACTGAAGTAATGGAGGGAAACATCAAGAAAGGCCTTAGAAATTGACTCGGTTTTGAGAACATGGGTTTAACTAATGTTAAACTGCCCAATTTGGTGGGTGGTAGCTTGCATTATACAATATTATTATTGGTGAGTCTGAAAGCCTGCCCAGACCTTTGCCAAATGTATATTTCTCTTGAAATGTCACAATTGTCTAAACATGTTTAGTCAAGCCAGACTCTTTATAAAAAAGAGATAAGATGCCTCAAGAAGAAGGCATTTTTTAAAACTTTTCTGTCTCTTTCAGCTAGCAAAACATAAAGCAATCAAAGCCCCAGGGTAGAGTCCAAGATCTCAGAAGCAAGCAGGCACATTATGAGATGCCAGGCATGACAAATCAATCCTGTTAAATTTTCAGGCAGCATGAATATTACTTTTAAACCCCAAAGCTTTCATTTCTACACTTCACAGCAAAGTAAAGAGCTTTCTGGCAAGTAAAGAATGAATTAATCATCATTTTGACATTAATCATCCCCTAAATTCAGGTCTCAAGTAAATGTGAATATAAGGAGTTTAACATCTGACAGCTGGCTTTTGTCAGGAGACTTTCAGAAATGTGTTCCCCAAATACAGGTGCTTATTACATAGGGACAATGTTCTTACTTTGGGAAGAACAATAAGCAGCCTCTCCAGCAGAATATATTCCCCTAAGCACTGGGAGTAGATTGGATAATTGCACACTAGAAGCTTGACTTGGCGCCAGTTTGCTGTTGTTTTTAATGGTTTGATCGGTTTAGTTTGATAGTTTTAATGTGATTTTACATGTTTTAACTTTTGATTGGGAGCCATCTAAAGTGGCTTGGAAGATGGATGGTTGAGTAAATGTTTTAAATAAGTAAATAAAGTAACATTCTCCAATCACAATCCAGCTCAATTACTGGTACTCCTTCTCCTTTTTCTGACTGCAGTAAGTTATGAAAATATGCTGGTGTCACATAGTAGATATAGAAGTTAAAGTGGAGAATTCTGTTGAATATTTACCCCCCCACATACACACCAAAAGACTTCAAGAGAGAGTGAGGTTTAGCATTAGAGCAGTAAAAGCATTGATCTACTACATAACTGCAATAAAAAGGTCAGATTCCACACCAAGTTAATTCAGAAATGACTCCAAGATAAAAATGTTAATGCCCCATAAGTATAAATTCAGAATGTTAGTTCAGATCCAGTCACTGTTTTTCCTTTTTCTTTTAAAGATATTACCAACCTAAGAAAGCTTCAGAAAGCAGCTTCAAGAATATTGTTTCATCATGAATAAATTAGGAGTTTAATGGGAACGGCTACGGGAATTGAGTATGTCTAGTTTAATGAAGAGAAGGACAAGGGGGGACATGATAGCAATGTTCCAGTATCTCAGGGGCTGCCACAAAGAAGAGGGAGTCAAGCTATTCTCCAAAGCGCCTGAAGGCAGGACAAGAAGCAATGGATGGAAACTAATCAAGGAGAGAAGCAGGGCTTTTTTGTCATAGAATTCCCAGAACGGAGTTCCGGCACCTTTTTTGGATGGAACCTTGTAGGGTAGGCAAGGCAGGTTGTGTGACAAGTGTGAGTTCCAGCACATTTTTTTTTTTTTTAGAAAAAAAGCATTGGAGAGAAGTAACCTAGAACTAAGGAAACTTAGGAAACTTCCTGTTAGAACAATTAACCAGTGGAACAACCTGCCTCCAGAAGCGGTGAATGCTCCAAAACTGGAAGTTTTTAAGAAGAGACTGGACAGCCATTTGTTTGAAATGGTATAGAGTTTCCTGCCTGCTATAGGGTTTCCTGCCTGAGCAGGGGGTTGGACTAAATGATCTCCAAAGTCCCTTCCAACTATTATTATTGTTGTTGTTATTATTGTTGTTGTTGTTGTTGTTGTTGTTGTTGTTATTATATCTATTTTTTAGTTTGAAAAGAAGTGAAATTTCACACATGTGGTAAACAGGCATGCAGCTATCCATAATGTGGAAAAAAAGGAGAGAAAATGTAACCCATTAAAAGCAAATTCAAAAGGAAATTTAATCAAATTCTTAATGTTGAGCATTTCAACAGGATCTTATAAACAAACATGCTTGGTAACTAAAATATATATTATAGCTAGAGAAGATCTTAATCTTAAAGTTTATTTGTGAGTAAAATCAAGGAGATGAGTGCAAATATAAAATTTTAATGAGAGAAAACAATGAAGGCTCAGTAATTTAAGTTAGCTGTTCCAAGAATTTTATACGCATTAATATGTGTATTAGTTTGGCTGTGTAGGTGAATAAAAAATTTGGGCTGAATTGACTCCATTAGTTTTATTTAGCATGCATTTATAATTGCTAAAAACCAACAAATACAGTATATATTGGTTTTGATGGTCTTCTTTCTGTATGAATTTAATATTAATTTTATCCATGCTAAGCTCCTTTTGTAAAAATTTTGCCCCAGAAAAGGATTTCTGCATCAGTATCTGTAGCTGGTTCACAACTATCAATTACAATCAAAATGTCTTGTTTTCCCCATTATGTTTATCCTTTTGGGTATGTTTCAGTCTGCTCACATGAATAAAAGCTATATTAAAGAAGAGAGAAGGAAGGAGGAGGACAGAGCTGCTACAGAGAAGGCTGAGGAACACTAATTGCATACTTAAGATGCACTGAGTATTTGTAGTCCTAGGCCCTAGGATACATTACTGCCTTTCCTCTCATAATTTGCAAAGCTCTCAAGACTACCTTACTAGTCAATCATGCTTGACTAATTGTTGGAAATTCCTGTGTTGTTGCATTACTAATTTTAGTTTTTATTTTATTGTTAGCTTTTTTTCAGTAGAATTTTTTTTAACTTTATTTTTCACTCAGAGTCTGTCTTGATTGGTATAGACTACAAACATCGTAAATAAGTACATAAATAAATAGCCAATAAACACAATGCTTAATTCAAAAGCCCAGTGCTAAATATTGACCTGTTTATACAGTATATAAAAATCTCTATATATTACAAACTAAACCACAAATATACTTCTGGCTTTTGTAATTCTGTTTAAACATATGTAATCTCTGCCTTTCAAAATTTTGGATTATTAATACAAATTGTTTTCTCCTTGAGGTGAAAGAATATAGTTAATGGATTCAACAAGTGACATGCACACATGAAAATGGATGCCATTAGAACAATGTCTTGTTTGTTTATTTGTTTTAAAAAATAAAAATATAGTTCATTGTTTCTGAAACTGTGTTGAAATGAGTAAACTGGATCACTGAAATGAAGTCTAATCACCAACACAATCTTTAAAAGAATTTGAAATCCTTTAAACCATAGACAAAAGCCAATAAAGCTTCTAAGGAAGAAAATCAATATGAAGTCTTAAAGGTTTCTCTCCCTCTCTCTCACTTACACAGACAGCAAGCTTTCTTTCTGAAGCTGTTTTTCCTGTGTCTTCGACAATATCCACAAAGCCTGATTCTTCCTTTCGCCTGCACGAATCCATCACTAAGGTAAAGGCAATTAAGATGTCTCATCTCACAGTGATTTCATGTGAACCAATCATGAATGAATAATTCACTGTTTTCAGAGGTGTTTGAAAGCATTTATTGATGAGCCTCTACTGACAGTTTGATTGATGATTTAAATGCAGCCACAGTATTATTCTGTGCATAGTTCTTTCAAAAGAGAGTCCTGCTGAACTCGTGGGGGTAACTCCCAAGAAGGTAAGTATAAGATTCGAGGCTTAAGTCTTATGTTTCAGGATTCAGAATAAGGAGATTTCCAAATTCAGGCATAAAGTTTCACTCATTCATTGGAAGAGCAGTTGTAAGATTGTTTCTAACACACTAGGTCAAATACCAAACATCTGCTGCATTTAATATCCCAAGATATGTTATGCTTTTCATGTGATCAGGAAAAGATTCTACACAGATCTTTTTTGTCCAGATGAAAAAATATTTGTCTTTCATGAACTAGGAGAGATCTCAGGTAAAACAGAAAATATGTATGTGCTGAAGTGGAGAAAGGTGATACGCTAAGGTGGTCTTCCTTCAGTCCCAGGTTTAAAATTGGGAATTAAGAATACAGTTATCCAGTCTTGTAAAATAAATGGATTCAAGTCTTAAGAAATATATGTTTATTGTGATTTAAAAATGGATAATGCTTATCTGTGTTTAATGCATCTCTCAAAGAATGTTTTTCAAACATCTGCATATGAACTTTTTGGTGTTAGGATTTTTTTTAACTCCTGTGATTTAGTCCTGTCCAACTGTAGCTCTATTTTGGAGTCAAGTTATAGCATATGTTTAAGCAAATTTGGAAAGAACTGTAATAATGGATAACATAATTACAATGTTAAATGGGAAATTCACTCTTTTTTTTCTTGCTTTATCAAGTCTGTGGCTCAGCAAAAGATAATCCTAATAAATGAAAAGAAATATATGTAAGGACCCACCCCACTTTGCATCTTAAGAAGACAGAACTCTTGGAATAGCTCTTCCAACAGGAATCCTTTATTAAGAGAAAATGGTTGCAGGCATGCTAGACAGGACTTGGGGTTCAAGCTCTCCCATTCAAGGTTTTAAGGGGTTCCCCAGTAGTCCCACCCAATCAACCCCCCTTCCAGTGATAGTTTCAAGTATCACAATTCCATCCCCTTTCTTCTTCCGTCTGGATGGAGACTTCAGATAACTACATGAAAGGCAATTACTCTTCTTTGATATGTTAAAGCTTAGAGGCCACAATAAACACACATTCAGTCCTTTGAAGTGTGCTGAAGGAAGTGAGGGCCATAAAGCCCCTTTGCTCTCCCCCTTTTCTCCCTCTTATGGCAGAATCCAGAGAAGGCAGAATTGGGAGTTTCTATGTTTGATAATTAAAGATGAAATATAATTGGATTCTGACATCCGGCCCCTCTTAACAATAAGAGAGATCCACCTGAAAGAAAACACAAGTAAAAATTTAGTTAGGCTTGTTAGGATACTCTGTGTGAAACTTCTTCAATAGCTTCGGGGCTCTGACGTGACGTTTATGGACCCACTCATTTTGTGAGGCAGGGAGGTGTTTCCAGGCAACTAGGTACTGAGTTGTTCCATGATATCTCCTAGAGTCAAGGATCTCTTTTATTTCGAAGTGTTGTTCCCCCTCCACCATGATTGGAGGTGGTGGGGGGGGGATTTTTGGCCGTAGAGGTGACTGATGCTCTCTTTTCAGCAAGCTGCAATGAAAAAATGGGTGTATTTGCCTGAGGTTTTTGGGTAATTCTAATTCTACTGTTACTGGATTTATGATCCTTTTAATTGGAAAAGGTCCTATATATTTTTGTCCAAGTTTTTTACAGGGCTGTAGGGACTTTAGGTATTTTGTAGATAAGTACACCATTTCTCCTATAATGAATGGTGTAGGCTCAACCCTTTTTTTATCGGCTTGTGCTTTGTATGCCCGCCTAGCTTCATCTAGTGATTTTCTGACTATTGGCCAGGTGTTTTGTAGGTTTTCCATCCATTCTTTCAGTGAAGGGATCGTTGGTTCTTTTGGGGTTAACTCTGGCATAGGGTTGAAACTTTGGCCGTTGGCTATTTGAAAAGGAGTGTAGCCTGTGCTGGAGTGGACTGCATTATTGTAGGCAACTTCTGCAAAAGGAAGTAAGTCCGTCCAATCACTCTGTTGGAAATTTAAAAAACATCTCAAATATTGCTCAAGTACCGACTGGCAGCGTTCCGCTTGTCCATCTGTCTGAGGGTGATGGCTAGATGTCAGTCCCTGAGTGGTCCCTAAGAGGGATAAAAATTCCTTCCCAAATGTAGACGTAAATTGCACTCCCCTATCAGAGATGATGCGTTGGGGTGCCCCGTGCAATCTGTAAATGTGCTGGATAAAAAGTTTTGCTAAGGCCTTTGCAGTGGGAATTTTTTGGCAAGGGATAAAGTGCACCTGTTTGGAAAATAGGTCCGTGACTGTCCAGATAACAGTATTCCCATTGCTTTCAGGCAATTCCACTATAAAATCCATGGCTATTTCCCTCCAGGGGGCTGAGGGACTTGCCACTGGTTGTAACAGCCCTGGCGATTTCCCTTGCAACCTCTTTGCTGATGCACAGGTTGGGCAGCTGGCAACATAACTTTCTATGTCCTTTTTTATTGATGGCCACCAAAATTGCCGTTTAATTAAGTGTAAAGTTTTTACAAATCCAAAATGCCCTGCTGATTTTGTGTCATGGCAAAGTTGCATGAAAGTTAGTCTTTGAGTTGTTGGTATATATAACTTTTCCCCTACCCAAGGCAATCCGTCTCTCATTGTGCACACATGTTTGTTTTTCTGGAACCAATCATCTGTTTCCAAACTTTTTCTGAATTCAATCCCAGTTTGGCTGTCCAGTTGTGGTTTTATTTTGGCTTGGGTTCTTGTGGTTACTGGCGCTGCCAGTTGTGATTCTGCCATTATTGGTCTAGAGTCTGTGGTTCGTGCGCTGTTATATTGGGGCATGCGAGATAGTGCATCTGCCAGGAAGTTCTTTCTTCCTGGTAAATGTTTGAGCTTAAATTGGAATTGGTGAAAATGCTGGGACCAGCGGGCTTGTTTGGGATTGAGTTTCCTGGAAGTTTTCAGGGCTTCTAAATTTTTGTGATCAGTCCATACCTGGAAGGGGATTTTGTTGCCTTCCAGGAACTGTCGCCACGTGAGTAATGCCCAACGTATCCCATAAGCCTCCTTCTCCCATACGGGCCAGCGCTGTTCTGTTTCCGTGAGTTTCTTAGATGTATATGCACAGGGTTGCAATACTGCATCATCATTTTCTTGTAATAGCACAGCCCCCACTGCCACATCACTTGCATCTGCCTGTATTATGAAGGGCTTGTCCATATCTGGGTGCCTTAGTACTGGTTCGGCAGAAAAAAGTCTCTTTAGTCTCTCAAACGCTGCTTGGCACTCCATTGTCCATGTTAGTGGCTGGCTAGGTTTTACTGAGGATGTTCCCTTCGTTTTTAGTAAGTTGGTGAGGGGCAAGGCTATCTGTGCAAATGAGGGGATGAATTGGCGGTAAAAATTTGCAAAGCCCAGGAAACTTTGTAGTTGCTTTCTTGTGCGGGGTGGTGCCCATTCTAATACTGCTCTGACCTTCTCTGGGTCCATTTCAATGCCCTGTGGGGATATGCGATAGCCTAGGTAGTCTATCCTTTCCTGGTGGAATTCGCATTTTGAGAGTTTGGCATATAGGTGAGCGGCTCGCAGCTTCTTTAAAACCGCTCTGACAAGTTTGACGTGTTCTTCTTTTGTTTCAGTAAAGATAAGAATGTCGTCCAAGTAAACAAGGACCCCCTTAAACAGGTGCTCCCTTAGAACGTCATTGATTAATTGCATAAAGACTGCAGGGCCCCCTTGTAATCCAAATGGCAAGACTTTGAATTGATAGCACCCCATGGGGCAGTTAAATGCAGTCTTCCATTCGTCCCCTTCCTTGATTCTCACGCGATAGTAAGCTTCCCTTAAGTCTAGTTTAGAAAAAATTTTCCCTTTCGATAGGTGTGACAGCATGTCTTTCATGAGGGGCAGCGGGTATAGGTTGCTTTCACTGATTGTGTTCAGGGCCCTATAATCCACGCATAAACGTAAAGAGCCATCCTTCTTCTCTCTAAAAAGGACCGGGGCAGCCACTTTAGGCTTAGCTGGTTCAATGAAACCTCTCTCCAGGTTTTTTTTTATAAATCTTTCCATTTCCTCCTTCTCCTTTGGGCTCATGGAGTATAATCTGGGCTTCGGGAGTTTTGCCCCAGGCTTGAATTCAATGGTACAGTCTGTGGGTCGGTGGGGGGGAAGCTCATTCGCCCTCTCCTCACTGAAGACTTCAGCAAGGTCCCTATATTCCTCTGGTATTTCTGTTAATCTTTTTTCCTCTCCTATGGATGCTTTTTCTATTCTTGATTCTGGTAGCCTCCCTTGGGGTTTTAAGTCCATAGGGTCCCCCTTCGGGAATTTGATTTCTGTCGTCCTCCAATTTACCCAGGGGTTCCATTTTTTCAACCATTCCATCCCTAGAATCATTGGGCATTCCATACCTGGGGTCACCACAAACGTTAAGTCCTCTTCATGGTTGCCCAGGGAGAGATGTATTGGCAAAGTGGCTAGGGTAGCTGGCACCCCCCCTGCTATGGATCCATCTAGCTGGCCAAATGAGATTGGTTGTTCCAGTCTCCTGGATGGGATGCCCAGATTCCCCACTAGTGTTGGGCTAATGAGGCAGCGGGTGCAGCCAGAGTCTATTAAGGCTTTCACCTTCACAGCTTCGGGCATGGGGGGGATTAATATAGTCACTGTTTTGAAGATGGGTGTGATGCGTCCACTTACCAGGGGTTCGCCTTCCGAGCTGTCATCTGAGGCATCCACCGTCCCTGTGGTGTAGGCTGGAGTTCTTTCCCCTTGGTGAGCAGAGGTGGGGTTTTCTGCAATTTCCATCATTTTCATGGCTGTTTCTTTTGGCTTAGCTGAATACCCTCTGGGTTTGTTGATTGGGGATCTGTCTGGGTTGTGCTGGGGGGCCTTTGAGCGGCATTCTACAGCTCGATGCCCTTCTCTT